TATGATGAGGAGTGAAGGTGCGGGCGCACGAGCTTTTAGTCGTTAGCTCTATCTCGAATCGTGGACCTTTTGACCCATATTGTACGAGAATCGCGCTAGCCGGACTACTCACATCTGATGGCCTTCACATGCTTCGCGGTGCGGATCGCCGGCATAACCCGCGTCTGGTTGCCAGACGCGCCCGGTTGCCAGACGCGCGCCACCCCCAGCGCCGTCTGCTCCGCGAAGCCCCCGTGATGAGCGCGCCGCCAGCTGACGCCCGCCCCACCCCGTCGGCAGGAGCTGCTCTTCACCATCCAGCACATGGACGCGAGCGCCGACGACGCGTGCCGCGAGGCGTCTCGCGTGCTTAAGTCCAACCTGTTCTACATGCCTGAGTACCGCGAGCTGCTGTATGTGCTGCTCTGCCAGTACAGCCCCGTCAAGATGAGCCGGTACGGAGCCGCGCCGCGCCGACCGCCGGCGGCCGACCGCCGGCGGCCGCCACTCGGCACCGGGCTAATTAATTAAACCGGGCCGGCGCCGGCGGTGGGGAGTTTGACTTTGTTTACGGCTTCCGCAGCTGCTCGCACTCCGAGGTGCGTGTGGACGGCAGATACGGGCCGGACACGTGCGGGGAGGGTCTGTCATGGATTGTGGGCGGTGACCGCGCGCGGGGTCTGTCCAGCTCCATTTGACCTGATGGGTGATCCCGTTCCGTTATCATATGCGACCGGCTGTGCTACGTGCAGCAGCGAACGGTGCTTTCCTGCGCTGGTGACGAATATGCAGGCGCACGCTCGTGCTGTATCCCTGTCTCACAGACTTTCGGCTAATGTCACGCGCTCCATCCTGTCCGGCTTATGGGCTTTGCATAGCCGAGACGGAGCCTGTGCGGCGCTGAGCCGGGCTTGCGCCGTCGCTGTCGAACCTGCTGGGGCGGTGCGTGCGTGTGTCACCTCCGAGCTTCGCGGGAGTCTCGACCGACTGCCGTGCGTGCGCTAATAACGCGCCACCAGCACCAATATCAGCGCCATAAATTGTGTTCCCGGCGCCTAACTTGCATCGAATTGGATCGGGTCGTTAGGAAAACACGATCGGCGGCCGGGCGCCGTATTTTTATGGGAGGCGTAAATTACGTATCCTCCGGGCCGGCGCAATATCTCTACGGATTGGATTAAGTTGCAGCCGGCCGGTAAAGCAGCCGGCTGCTGCACGCACGCTTGCTCGGCCGGCCCGCCTCTTAAACAAGTGACCGGATGTGTCCGGTCCGGCGGTTAGCCGCCCAACAGGGCGCGGCCGCACGGAGGTCGGCCGCCCAACAGTGTGCGGCCGTACGGAGGTCAGCCGCGCAGCCGGCGCTTGTTTGCGCGACGCGCACGTTGCGCGTGGCCCGACCGGCCGCGCCGGCCGTGGACGCTCGCGGCACGACACGGCTCCGCCACCGGCGTGGCCCGCCCGCCGCGCCTGCGGCGGCGTCTCTGTCAGGTGTTGAACGGCCGTGACGGACGTGGAGTGTTCATTATCAGGTCTGAAGAGAGCCTCGCCGGCTGTGCGGCCGTATTGGGAGCGGCTGAAATGGATCTTTCCTAGACGCCCACCATAAATGGTAAATTGCCGCCGTCTGATGCAAATCGGCCTGGATGGGCCGACTGTCTGAGGATGCCCCGACAGCTATTGGCCGCCCCACGGCCGGGTCGCTCCGGCCCTACTCCCGTGGTGTGAGAGCTGTACCGGCCGGCGGTCCACTGTGAGTCGCCAGCACTGTGCGGCCGAGGAGGATTGGCCATGGTAACCGGCCGCAAATTGCCCCCGTTTGATTAGTGCCGCAGCCGTCGGCTCGGGGCGCCACTCCCCCGCATCTGCGCCGTCTGGACGCTAATAACGCGTTGCAAGTTTAGTAGGCTGACCTTTGCCAGGCTATCTTGGTTATGCCATTGCATTAACTATTCAGCATATATCAGTGATGCGACTAGCCTGCTCCCCACCACCTGGCCGTGATCTCCCGTTTCAATGTGGGAGATCTTGGCGGGCTCCTGTTCTATAAAACACATTCGCGTCGCACACAGACGCGGCCGCGCTGAATTGGCTGCGCGAAAGCCCCTTAAGGTAGTTATACAAATCTCCGACGAGCGGTTGCATCCAGCCGGCTTATTTCAGCTCTGATCAGTTGTGTCGTCTCATCGTCGTTATCGGCACGATGGCACCCGCTTAGTTACCGCGAGACTTTTCATTGGCGGTTCGTCCCAAAACGTGGAATGTGGACACATTCACCCTCCGCGGTTAACCCAGCTGTGTGGAAAAGTTGACTGTGTGTCTGCGGCCCTCCACAGTTTAGGGTAGGGGAGGGGGAGGGGGGAGGGGGCGATGCCGCATCCTCACGGGATTAAATGCGGGGCGCGAGTTGAACACCCTGCTGTTCATGTATGGCGGGTCTAGTCAACAGTTTACTCCACTCTTACTCCCAGAACGTGCTATGGCAACGGCCCAAACTCTGAACCTAAGACAAGAGTCGGGCATGCTCTTGGTCCGGCCTCTAGTACCCTTCACGGAAGTTTTATTTGTTCGCGTCGCTCCAGATGAAAGCGCCGTCAAGACGTCCCCGGCTAGCGCGGAACCGTGCTTCGGGAGAAAAGAAATCATCAGCAGTGTTTTTGTCGGAGTTGCCAGACGGCGCGGCATTGTGACAGAATTGAGGCGATCAGCACCCGGCAGCCCGCCGCTGCCATCAAAGGAGCGATTACGTTTCCATATTTGCTCATCCCGGCTACGGCGGCCGCACCGGAGCCAATCCGCCAGAAGCGGTTTTCAATCTTAAGCGTGATTGAGTGGGCTTAAAGACCGACTTTGAACCTTTTTCCTGTCGGAAATACGGTGGATTTTGGCCCTGCCGTTGCCTTCGTTTATCATTTCCGATTTAACTTTATTCCTCTTGATTTTATGCAAAAGTTATTGCTTGAAATGATTGATTTTGATTAGTTATCCTCAACACCACGACAGGATTCCTTCCAGATGCCAGACAGGTTCAGATGGGTTTTACCTGGAGATTTTTGCTGTTTGGCTACTTATATGAGTGCTTTTGTGATGTATTTTCATATTTGCCGCCGTTTTGTGCAGCCAGATGAGACAGATGCATGGGGATCTCACTTCTTTCGCTCCGTGCAGGAAGTTTTTGACTGACCTGGTGGAAACCACTCACGTCTTCATCAAGCTGCTGGAGAAGTTCTCCGGCGGCGGGCGGATCGTCGTCAAGCAGAAGCGGAAGGCCAAGAAGAAGAGCCGCGGACGGCGGCCAGGTACGCTGCTCCTCGATCGTCTAACCTTCGCTCCGCTGCCGACGGTGCTGTGACGTGCTAACTTGACGGATGCTGGACGCTGAGAAACTGCTCTGATTGGCCCGTCCGAACTGCAACTGTGCCGCTGACATTTCAGTTTTCTAATCGACCAACTTGTGGACACTTGTGAAAGATGGGCTTTGTGGAAAATCTCCTCGCGCGATTTAGAACGATAGTAGCGCAATCAAGCCGGGTGTGATTTAGGTAAAGGTTTGTGTCGAAACTTCTGGCAACGGCACTGTCTTATATGTAGAGCTTACGCTTAATGTCAGTCTCTCAAACACGATTTAAGCGCTAAGACGTGACGAAACAGAACATTTTCTGTGGTGTAAATTTTTCTGCGCCTCGAATGCGGCAAATGTGTGAACATGAGAGAACCTACCTGACATGACGACAGTGACGGTAACGGCATAACACAGTCGCGTGTCTGCTCGATTCCAATTCAGGCGTGTTATATTTATGGTCATTTGACTCAGCAATAGTCCAGCGAACTCAGGCCTGGGCCGTTCGTTATGTCATGGTTCGGAGATTGAGCTCGGGAAGTACAGCTCATGTCACAGTAGACGAAACGATACGTCTGGACTGTCGATCTAATGGACTGTTTCAAGCTTCATTAGTTTTGTTCGATCCTTTCCTTTCGACATACTGCAGACTGCTTCAACAAAGAGGGGATTTTGGAGGGCGTGGTTCCCTGTAGCGAGGAGGAAATCCAGCTGGTTGATGATAAAGTGTTCTTGTGAAGCCGCCAGCCTTTAAAAATATGCCTGCAGGCGTTGGTTCATACTGCCGAGCCGGTTTTTCCATGTTCCAAAACATCGCGAGTTTGAATGTCCGGCGAGTTTTGCGGACGGCGCGTCCTCGCCGCACGGCCCATTCACCGTCATCGGGTGATTCCGGCCGTGTCTCGTTCAGAACTCCCCTTTGAGTCGTCGGCGCCGCGCGCCGCCGGAGCTGACGCGTCCATTTGGCGCGCCGCGTGCGACCGGCCTCACCGGCGGGGCAGGGCGCTGACGTCACGGTCTCGTGACGAGGGCTTGGGATTGGGATTGGCAGGATTCGATTAGACCCGCATGCTGCAAATCCTGGATTCCTAAAGGCAAGGATTCGGATACTGAATGAGTGTTCGAATCTTAGATGCTCAAATAGCACACCGCATCCTGAAAACTATCGTTTAAACCCGTGATCAGGTGTATTAAAGGCCGTCTGAGTCCATATCTCCCGCAGCTAATCCGAATGCACCACGTGAATGTTGGCTCTGTACCGAAATGAGTTGCCCGCCCTCCTTTTAATTGCATGATATCAACTTAACATTTCGATGCAAATACTCAAATATATTTGATTTTCGAATCCGAATCCGAATCCGATACCACCTATCCGAGGATCCAAATTCCTGCAGCTCTAGAAAGTGCTTTGAATTCTCAGCCCCAGTTACGCACCATCGCAGGCTCCTGGACGCGCAGCAGGCCCGACACCTGGACCGGCCGTCCTTCACTGCCCGCAGCCCTTACCCCATAATCCCAGCTGTGGCTCCGCTCGGACCCCCGCCCCGAGCCGAACCGCCGGCTGACTGGCTGACGTCCCCTCCCGCTCGGCAGGCGGCGGGGCGGCGGGACGGCGCGTCTCGACCGCCGCCGGCCGACCCCGAGCTCACCTGGGACGGACTCAGCGACGAGCTGTCGGCGGCGCTGCAGGGCGCCCGGCCGCTGCCCGAGGACGTGCTGCCGTTCGACGCTGCCAGCGAGGTGCCGCTGGAGCAGCAGAGGTGAGCCTGCTGCCCCGCAGCCGGACCCCGAGCGGGTGGCTGCCACACGGTCGGACCCAGGGGTCAGGCCGATCTCAGAGTCCGGCACGCCGGTGAATTCGTTACCCCATGCCCCCTCCTCCAGGGGGAGGGGGCCGATCATGGGGGTGCGCGGCTGCTCCAGAAAGAAATGTCTGCGCGAGATCTGCCCCAGGTCGCGCCCTGAGGAAGCAAATGGGGGGGGGGGGGGCGGGCGGGGCCTAAGTAACGGGAGCCAGCCTGCCTTTCACGAGGGCAAAGCTGAACAGGTCGACCCTGAAGGCTTGGCACTAGATGTCCGAATATTGGCAGCGCATGAAAGCAGGTTAAAAAATCACCACCTGCCGCTGAGGAGGCTCGAGAGTATCAGAGTGCTAGGCTCCAGCATTGTGCTTTCAGCAGAAAGGACAGGCAAGTATCTCGACGTGTCTTTACTTGCCGCTCGTACGTCATCCATACACCAGTGACTGGTGGCTGAGGGAGGACTTGTGACCCCGTGCTCAGCTGGCATGGGCCGCCCACAGACCACGCTCCAGTCCCGACGCGTCGTCGGACGGTGCTCGCCCGCCAGCCGAGCGCCCGGGTGTTTAGTACGCTGTGCGGCGTCTTTGAAAGGTCACTCCGTATGGGCTGTGGCATGTGGTAGTTTGTATGCGCCCAGGCGAGGCTGGATATTTCGGGCGTCGAGCCCACAGCGTCTTTTGTTTACGCCCGGCGTTGGCCGTCCTCTGATGACGCCTGGGGTGGGCTTCCGCTGAACATGGCAAGTTCCTGGCGCAAGTACTTGACCAAGAGGGACCACGTGGCCTTGCCTCCTTCCCCCTTTCATGATTGCACTAACTAGCGCGCAATTATGCAGGACCTCGATCCAAAGTCGCAGGAGTTCCCGGACAATTTGACATTTACCACTCCTCTCCCCCTGACGGAACTCCTGGCTACGTACCTGTCCTATTCTGCGTGGCGTTGCCCACCGTCGGCCCGAGCGCGTCCCGGTTTGGCCCGGCCGGCGTTCGGCGGCCTCTGGCTGCGGACTGCCTGGCGTTGCCCGCCGTCGGCCCGAGCGCGTCCCGGTTTGGCCCGGCCGGCGCTCGGCGGCCTCTGGCTGCGGAGGGCGTCGGCGCTCGTCGGTCACGACGATGAGCGTCGGTCGGGCCGGCCCCGCCCAGCTCCATCGGAAAATCACGGCCGCCGCTCCGCCATGGCACGCTGTCACTCTAATGGATGATCCCGCCGGCTATCGATATTGTGGGTGCGGCCTCTCGACCGGCTTGTAATCAACGCTCTCAACTGATCTGGCCAGCCATCAATTTACCCCGTGTCTCGTTTCGGATGTGACCTCGTGCGTGGCGGTATTTGAGAGGTCGGGGATATGGGTGCGGGGAAACTGGTGTTGCTCGCCACAGCTGTATCATGCACCAGTCTGCTCAAGAAGGCTTCTGCCCTTTTTTGCACGTCGTGGCTGAAGATTTTGATGTGCTCTTGAAAGGATAGCATGTATTCGTTTAGCGTGAGGGCAGTGCAGACTGGTCGCCAGCCATAGTGCATGAGTGTGGTACCTGGGGCAAATGGTCTTCTCCCGCCCCTTCCTGTTGCCCCCCCCCCCCCCCACACTCACTGTGTTGTCAACTCCCATTTCTTGAATGCACTCTGGTAAACAACATGCTGAAATTGCCTTCCTGGGGCTCGTTGCAAGTGTAGAAGGCCACACAATTTTCTTCTGCTCTTTGATCCGAATATCTGTTCGAGATATTTGCAGTCACAGGCATTCTGTGGCGGATTGGGTTGCTGCATGTATTGGATGTGAAACGATTGTTGGGTTTATGGAGTGTAAAATGAAATCTGTCAGTTACCGCCCGGTTGGACATTGCAGCATTCTGCTGCGCGGTGGCCTCATCCGAAGACGGTTTGATGAACCCCTCGCTGACGGCGCGCTTACCCTTCCTTTGAAGCGCGTGTCTTGGCGGCTAGCCGGCGCGTCAGAGCACCGGCCCCCACAGAGCTGGGCGTCCGCCGAGCTAACTGCCCGCCCCACCCGACGTGGAGAGTCCAGCACGCTGGTGGGCGGGCGGGTGGGGGAGGGGGAGGGGGAGAGGCGGTCACAGGAGCACGTCCCCGGGGATGGGAGGACACGCCAGAACCTACACCCCCTTGTGGGGCGGGCAGGAGATGCAGTCTGTGGGTGTTGCACGCCATTGAGGCAGAGGTCTCATCCCTCCGCGCACAGAGCAAGGCCCTTCTTGGGCAGCTGACAGTGTCAAAAGTAGCAGGGCTTCCATCTGGCCTTTGATCCGAATATCTGAATGCCGAATGTCGTGCCATTTGAAATCGCAGGCATTCCGCGCCGAACTGAATTGCTGCATTTCTCGGATGCAAAATGGTCGGATGCTGTGTGGACTGCAAAATGAAATCTTTTGGTTACGGGATGATTGAATCACGTGATCTTATGCTGTGCGATGTCTTCATTCCAAGGGGGTTCGATTTACTTCTCGCAGACAGTGCACTTATACTTCCCTAAAATCGCGCCTCGCGGGGCAGTTCGGGGTGCTCCAGGTGGAAGTGGGCGTCCGCCCAAGTAGCCGCCCACTACACCCCATGTGGGTGTTTGGGTATGTAAGGGGGTGCCGGCGGCACGTCCCTTGAGTGCGGAGGACACCCGGGAGCTTGTACCTCTCTGCGGTACAGCCATGACATCACATCAGGTGGGGCTTCACGTCATCGAGAAAGAGCCCACCACCCCTCTCCAAACAGCGAGAGCGGGGGGGGGGGGGGACGGGAGGGGAGGGCACGCCGTCTCACCGATCATGCGGGCAGTGCCCAGCGCCCACACCAGCTCCCTGACCATGCGGGCAGTGTCCAGCCCAACGCTGGGAGAGGTGCACTGCTCCCAGCGGTTGGGGTCTGCAGTGCCGGAGGAGGCCGTGGATGTGGGTGTCGGCCAAGCGGCGACAGCGCAACGCCCTTTGACCTCGGGCCGAACAGCTGTACCAACGCCGGACTGGGCCGTCGGCGCTCGGGCCCGGTCCCACAATACGGCGGCAGGAGGTGCAATGTGGTCGCAGCTTAGTGCCCATCAATGCGCTGTAGAAAATGCCGGTGATCAGCTGGTGCGCCGTGCTGTTCAAGAAGGGCCAGGCCGGGAGGCTCAGATGGGTATTCCTGTCACCGCCAGCTGGGCACTCGGGCCGAAGCTCACGTGCTAGGGCTGAGCTGTTAGTCAGTGATCACCAAGTGTCCCGCGCTGTTCAAGAGGAGCCAGGAAGGGAGGTTCGGATGGGTATTCCTATAACCGCCAGGTGGATACTCTGGCCGAAGCTCACGTGCTAGGGCTGAGCTGTTAATCAGTGATCACTAAGTGTCCCGCGCTGTTCAATAGGGGCCAGGACGGGATGTTCGGATGGGTATTCCTATAACCGCCAGCTGGATACTCCAGCTGCAGGTGACGAGCTGGGGCCGAGCTGTTTATCAGAACGTGCAATTATGGCCGTAATCAATATGCCAGTTCTCTGACGGGTTGGGAGGGCTCGCGAGTAGTTTCATCATTGTGGGCAGTTCAGCTCGCGTACTGCTGCATGTAGTCATGCAGTACATTCAGTGCTGCTGTGTACAGCCCAGTTACCGCCGCACACATTGCACTGCAGTTTGAGCAATGGGATCTAATGTTCTGGACCAATTCACACCGAACCAAAGCGGGCTGCTGCCTAACTTTTTCGTTTGAACTCGCATGCCCCTCGTGAGAGGCAAAGCTGCTTCCATCATTTGAATGCATGGAAAGTCACGTTTCTTGAAAGATACCTGCTGAATGTCATAGAGGCGGTGTAGATGTATGACAGAAGTAGTCCATTTGATATGGAAATGGGAATGGAAATCCACCTGAAATGGACCCATGACTGCGGGAACCCAGCCCGTTAGTACACAAATAGATAGCGGGATACTGCAGGCGGCTGTATCATGCATCCAGGAAGCAGTTCCCAAGCAGATGTATCGGGGACGAATTAAATTCCGTAGCAAGTTGAACTTGTTGATATGGTCGAATGACCGAATAACTTCCGAAGTTGGCTCCAGACCCGAATCGTTGAATGATTTTACCTGACAATAAACAACTACGCAACAGAACCGCATTCGAACTTTGAGCTCAATTCATAGCACTGGGAACTATGCTCATAATTCTAGGTGAGTCGCATGTATCGTTTGCGACAGAGGAGTGGGGCCTGAAGACAGCGGGGCACCGGTGCTGGGCCAGGGTATCAGTACTGCCTGAAGCACTGCAGTCCCCTGGTATCTGTTCCCTCACATCATGGACGAGGCCAAACCGTGTGACCCCTCCTCCCCGGGGACGCCGTGTTGCATTTTGCCCTCAACCCCGCTGAGACGTACAATCTACACGCTCCCCCTGTCTGTGAAAATGTGCATGCTCACGCGAGTACCATCAGGTGGCGAACGAATCTCCTCTGGAGGAACGTCCCGACCCGTGCCGACACTGCGCCCCCCCCCCCCCCCTCCCTTCCCGACCCAACCGGCGGACATCCGCCGGCTTCCGCTCGGCAGGGTAGGCTCAGAGGCGATTTCCTCCGTCGATAGCCCGTGGATCCGCGCCGCCGCCGGCCTCCCAGGACCGGTGCCGGCTTCTGGAGACTTAGCTGGCCACGGTGGGGGCCAGGACGCGCTCTGTCATGCTCAGCGACACGACGCGCGGCTGCCGGCCGGGCTCCGGCGAGCGGGGTTGAGCCGCCGCCTCTCGGCTCGGCTCAGAGGAGGAGGAGGAGGACTTAGCTGGCCACGGTGGCGGCCTGGACACGCTCTGTCATGCTCAGCGACGCGACGCGCGGCTGACAGCGGGACTCCGGCGGGCGGGGGTGAGCCTTTGCCTCTCGGCTCGGGCCCTCGGAGGAGGAGGAGGTGGAGAGGAGGAGCGTCGATGGTGTGGGCTCGGAGGAGGGGGGGGGGGGGGGCAGACAATGTCGTGAGCTGGGGAGACTGGCCGTCCGAGGGCCGGGGGGGGGGGGGTTGTTTGTTGGTGCGAGTTGAGGTACGATGACAGGCTGGACGTGTTGCGGGCGTTGGAGTGGGTGGAGAGAGGGGTTTGTTTGTCCCGCTAGGTCTGGACAAGGTTTCATGTGAGGGCTTTGGACAGCTGCCGCGAGTTGTGTGAAATGGTAGACTATTGCGCCGCCCAATATGTGTAAAATAAAGGTTACACAGACTCCACGGCGTCCCAGTCCTCGATTAGGCTCAAATCATGACTTGATGCGTACAAGCCCAGTGCCGCTCATCAACATAATACGACGAAGGTGTACTTAACCGTCGTTACGTTCTCTTATTTTCTTTCACTTGCTGCTTAAGTGCAACACAACCGGAAATAAAATTGCTTGTGTCATCACAGAAGTTGCGGATTCTAAGACCGGTTCTCTGATTTAGTTCCAAAAGCCAAAAGCAATTAGTTTTGTCAGTAAGTAAACCGACGTTGTTTATGAAGTGTGCTGTTTATTTGAACGTTTCCAATGGCTTAGCTAAGTCGGCTTAGTCGCCGTATTACGTTTAGGTTCAGGCGTCGTAATTAGCAGCTGAATTCCAAGCCTTAATGGAACATTAACTTCTTACGTTGGAGAGCTATCACGTACGGTCGGGTCGTTGTTATGGCGGTGTGTTGTGTTTGATGGTGCCTTCACCGCTGGTGTCCAGAGGTTCCGGCCCATTAATTAGCCCGTCCTAGAAATAGCAGAGGATTTGCGTCCATATACCCCTTCACAAACTTTAAATTAAGTTCACAGTGAAGGGCACCACAATTGACATTCACGTTTATGAACCCAATTATATTAAATCCTCGTGGAAACAGTTCTTCACAACGGACATAGTGTGATATTGTTGGCGAGCTCGCGCGTGGGGTGAAGGGAAGACTGGATGCTGATCTGTTCCTGTCTGTACTTTACATGCCGTGGCAATTGTAGATGTGACTGTCAACACTCACACTGTAATGATGTCTTCCTGGTATTGGAAACTGGGCGCCCACCATAATTACTAAACTAACTAATTTCGACGCGAGGTCCAAACAAGCCGAGCGTCAGCCTCGGCCGCTGTTGTGCTTTGCGGCCGCTAGGTGGCGCGGCGCCCGGTGGTCGGCCTGACCGGTGGTCGCCCTGCCGCAGGACGGAGGCCATGCTGCGCATTCAGGACCTGCTGCGGGCCGGCCAGCCGACCGGAGCCCTGGCATTGATCAGGGCCGCCAGGTGAGAGAGAGATAACGTCCCACAGCCAGATGAGAGAGATAACGTCCCACAGCCAGGTGAGAGAGATAACGTCCCACAGACAGATGACTCCCGCGGGGCCGCCGCACTAAGGACCGCCGGGCGGCGCCGCGGACGGACCGCGTCCGGCTCCCGCTTGTGCCGGGCTGCCGGCACGGGTCGCCTGATCAGCGGCGGCGCCGCTGCCGGCATCCGAGCGTGTCCGGCGGCCGCGGCGGCTAATGAAGGAGCCGACCTAATGACGCCGACCATTAAGTCACGTCCGTCCGGCGCGGCTCCCTCGGGGATGACAGTGTGAGAGGACCCCCCCCCCCTCCCTCCGAACACATCCCCATGCATGCCGTCTTTGTGTGTTACGCGGTGTGTCCTGTGTCGTCGACAACGCAAATTACGATGCCACATTTGTTGCGCGTCTGATGTTTCGTCCGGCCAGAGCGGTCTTCACGCGCACCTGCCGTCCCGATCGTGGTGCGTGTCGTATGCCATTCACATAAGGTGTACCATGCGGGGACCACGTGCCGCCGGCCGCGGCCGAACTCGGCCATTTGTGTCGGCTCCATGAGCGGGCACGGCGGCCGGCGGCAGTTTGCGGCGCGTGCGGCGGCCGCCGCCGCTCGGTGGGCGACCCGCGCCACCGCTAATAAACCGCCGGCCGCGCTGTAATTGGAAATCGGCTGCACCGGCGCTGCGAGCCCGACCTGCACTGTCGGCCGGCCGTCACTCAGTCAGGGCCTGCTCCGTCTGCCGGACAGGGCCTGGTCTGTCTGCCGGACAGGGTCCGGTCTGTGTGCTGGACAGGGCCTGGTCTGTCTGCCGGACAGGGTCCGGTCTGTGTGCTGGACAGCGTCCGGCCTGTGTGCCTGACAGGGCCTAGTCTGTATACTGGACAGGGTCCGGTCTGTATGCTGGACAGGCCCCGGTCTGTCTGCCGGACAGGGTCGGTCTGTGTGCCGGTCAGGGCCCGGTCTGTATGCTGGACAGGCCCCGGTCCGTCTGCCGGACAGGGTCGGTCTGTGTGCCGGTCAGGGCCTGATATCGATGCCGGACAGGGCCCGGTCTGCGCTGGAAAGGGCCCGGTTTGTGTGCCGGACAGGGCCCGGTCTGCGCCAGACAGGGCCCGACCTATGTGCCTGACGGGGCCCAGTCTGTATGCCGGACAGGACGCGTTCTATATGCCGGACAGGGCCCGGTCTGTATGCCGGGCAGGGCCGGTTCTGTCTGCCGGACAGGGCCCGTTCTGTCTGCTGGCCTTTGCCTGGTCTGTCCGCCGGACAGGGCCCGGTCTGTTTGTCGGACAAGGCCCAGTCCGTCCGCCGGGCAGGGTCGGTTCGTCCGCCGGCCAGTGCTGCGGTTCGTCCGCCGGCCAGCGCTCGGACCGTCTGCCTCGGCTCGGCTCGTCTCGGCCGGATGGCCCTGTTCCGGCCGCTGATGGCCGGTATTCGGCGGTTGATTGCCGCGGCCGGCCCGTGCTGAGGTGTGGCTGCCCCTGCGCCATCTGCCGGGGAGGGGAGGGGCGCTACTGACTGGGTCCCATATTTGCCCGTAATGTCGGAGCGGGCATGAGCGGCCCGACGATCTTGGCCACTCCTGCCGCTGCTCTCCTCAAATATTTAAGTGGCGTGAAGAGTGTGTGTTTCGATTGAGTTCTTTTCTTTGACAATCAGTTTGACTTTAATCTCTTTTGGCAGTTGGGTAATGTTCTTTGACGCCACAGCTGACGTACGTGCGTAGTTCACGGGATGCCGACGCATACTGAAATGGAGGCGTTTATATTGTCAGCGGGACTAACGCTTGACTGTGGTCGTCCACCGGTGTCCCCAGCTTTAAGAAACCTTCAAATACTTGAAACGGTGGTAAATCACATCCTTCGTAATGGGGAAGTGCAATGTAAATGAGGTGTACTGGAGGTGTCTGATCGTCACATGGTGCTCCAACGCTCGTCGGATGCCTAATAAGGGCCCCCGTCTACAGCTGATCCCCGGCTCTCCGTTACCAAAACTGTGGAAGCAATTATAAAGGGCGTGGAAGTTTGCGGAACTTAATCCCTTTATGATGTAGGTTAATTTCATTTTTGCGCTGTCGGCCCTCATTTTCCGAGCGTGCCCGGGAAAATTCCGCCGACGCAGGCCGCCGCCCCGCGCGAGCACTTACGGCAACAAGCGGCTGGCGTGCGGCTGGCGGCCGTTCGCCGAACTTGATCCGCAATATCTGGCCGCGATGACAGTCATTGGCCAGCGGGCCGTCGTGTCGGTCGGCCAACACTGACTGGCGCGGAGACCCTCTGATTGATTAAGGTGACTGGCGCGCAATCGGCGGCCAATGACAGAACATTCGGGTCCAGATGAGACCATTATTCGCGCCGAGCGGGGTGAGGGGCGACGGGCATCGGTGCTCCGTCCCTGCGCCACTGCCCGCCGCTGCGGCTGGCCGTCCCTGCGCCACTGCCCGCCGCTGTGGCTGACCGTCCCTGCGCCACTGCCTGCCGCTGTGGCTGGCCGTCCCTGCGCCACTGCCCGCCGCTGCGACTGACCCGTCTCTGCGCCACTGCCCTCCCCCCCCCCTCCCCCGCCGCCGTTCTCTGAACTCTGCCCCCTGACGTCGCGTGTGGTGGCTGGCGCCGGTCTTGATCCGACGGCGCCTCAAATTGGCACGCACTGTCCGCGGCCATGCATCGGAACCGCGAGGTCTGATGCTTTGGATCGATGCAGCGGTGTGTGCGAGATGGCTGATTTTTAGAGTTTCCGTAAATCGACCAACGCGAGCTGGCATCGGCGACATTTATTATCGGAACTTTCAGCCCTGCGCGCTTTGTTTCCCTCGTCTTTCGCATGTTTGCGCCCGTCTTCGGATTCATTTTATTCTTGAGTGCTTGCTGTCTCTCCCCACAGTCGGCGGGTGCTGTTGATGGGAAGTTGAACTGATTCAATCAGCTTAGAAGGAAAGGCGTCAAGGGTATAACGGAGAATGGCGAGGGGGGATTGCCGGCACTCCAGCCTCTTGAGCGATAGGATGGAACGTGGTGTGTGCAGCCGCTGTCAGCGAGGCGCGTCCTGCACGTGTGTGCGCAGGCAGGCGGCCGCACCGGCGCTCAGTGTGTGCCAGGCGAGGGGCGGACGGAAGCGAAGTCGGCACGGAGCGATGATGGGCCGATGCCGCCGCCCTGACGCGTCGCCGCTGGGTTTGGCTGTTGCAGGGAGGTGTGGCCGGCCGGGGACGTCTTCGGCGCGCCCGACATCGCGCCCGAGGACGAGTTTCTGGCGCTGCGGGAGATCCACTTCGCGCAGCTGCCAGGTAAGGCGGCTGAGCGGCGCGGACCGCTGGTCGGCTCGCGGCGCCTGCCAGGTAGGGCGGCTGAGCGGCACGGACCGCTGGTCGGCTCGCGGCGGATGGGATCGATTCCGAACATGACGTCCGAGCTGCTGGCCCGACATTGGCTTCGGTTGGTTCAGGACAGCAGTGTGGTCCGCGTCTGACAGCTGGCGGCGCCCGCAGCTGGCTGACGCCACTCCTCGCTGCGGGACGTGTGGAGGCCACCAGCCCCGATTATTGGACAGGCAGCCATCAAGCGGTGTGGCCACACCCCACTCCAAGGGCCACTTTCTAGGCACCACGCTACACAGTCAGAAATGGGGCACTTTTGGACGTTGCCTTGGCAAACTTCATTTGATTATTTCGTTCTGGCGGTCATGCATTTTTTGTCCTGTAACCGATCAAAAGAGTTACCCAAGCGTGCAGTGAACCCCAATTTCACTACAGCTGGTGGCGCGCCATGTTTTTTCTTTCTTTTTTTGATGCCACCACCATTGATCAGCCAGCAGCGGAATCCATGTTCACATAATTCCTGAATATCCGCATGATGTTTGTGAAACCAGCTCCATGCAAATGTAGATATATGCACACTTAGGAACATGCGTGAGGCATTTTGCTGTAGGAATGGGCTGTGAACGTATGGGAAGTGCTGGAGCTTAGAATTAACCCTTGCCCCGCGGGAGTTTCACCTACGTCACGCCCTACGACAAAGGGGGCCTGAGAACCCACCCGATGATCTCAAGATTTAAGCGAGCTTGAGCCACGCGGAAAACGGCATTGAAGAGCTCTTGTCAAACTGCATTAGATAGGCTTGTCTGAACAATGGTTAATGCGACCTTCGATGGACCAAACCAGGTCCAAAAGGTTAACATCAGCATATTGTAGACCGTTCCTGTTGTCTCAAGAACTAAACATGCTGCGACGATGCAGAGGGCGTACTTGAAAGCTCTCTAAATGCTGTTGGACTAGCACCTGTGAACATCGAGACATGACCTGTGATGGGTCATGTCAGGTCAAACTGGTGAAGGTGATTGTTGCATTGTCTCTTGCCACTATATCAGTAATTGAAACAGCCTCATGAATGGAGATCGCCGCGGAGACAGCTGGCGGTGTGGTGTGGTCAGAGCTGGCCATGTCCCAGCCCGGCCACTGCCCCGGGCTGAGCCCTGGCAGAGGTCACCGCCGGGACAGCTGGCGGTGTGGTGTGGTCAGAGCTGGCCGCGTCCCAGCCCGGCCACTGCCCCGGGCTGAGCCCTGGCAGAGGTCACCGCCGGGACAGCTGGCGGTGTGGTGTGGTCAGAGCTGGCCGCGTCCCAGCCCGGCCACTCCTCCGGGCTGAGCCCTGGCAGAGGTCACCACTGGGCCAGCTGGCGGATCAGGAGGTAACTTCGCACAGCGTAAGCGTCGGCTGCAGCTGAGACCGAGGCCGGTCGCGGGAGCCGGCTCACTGCTCTCGAAGCACGCGGCGTCTACGCTGGTGCTTCTCATAATCGTGACCGGTGCGGTCGGACGGCGCGCGGCCGTCGTTCAGCCGTGGGGGCGCGCCGGCGCTTCTTTACGTACAGGGGGCGCTTCATTTCTTCATCAGCGCCAACTCATATCGCGCCAACGATTAACTCAATTTTAATGGTAGCGATTCATTGATTCGGCGCCGGCAAGATGGGAACGGCCGTATTATTGAGATCGGACGCCTTGGTATTGATTTCACTATCGGGCTGACGCTCGCACGATAAATAATCCGCAGGCCGCTGGGAAGACGCGCAGTAAACAGCCTATGACCTCCACAGGGCGCTTCGATGTATGCCGTGCACCTGATCTCAACCTCAGAATGCCTGAAGACCGATCGCGTCTCAGACGTGATACGCGGTTCATGTCTAGGCACAATGCCTGGCGGTAGCCTGACTAAACCAGTTGAAGCTGAATGGGCCTCCTACGGCCCTCAAGCACGCCGGGATCTTTCCTGCTGGCGATTAGCCTTTCTCGCCGCTGACAGCCAGGTCCGCCTTATGAGCCATTCGGCGAGGATAAGTGTGCGGCTTGGGCCATCAGCGGTGTCGTTTCCGCCGCAGATGTGCCGCCGGAGGGACTCCCGGCCCCTGCCGCCCCCCCCCCCCCCCCCAGGCGGCGGCCGGGCCTCCTTCCCACCAGGCCCGCCGGTGCCCTCCTCACTGGCCGAGAGAGCTTGCTCCGGCCGTGAATCCGCACGTCTGATGCGGCCGGCATGGCGGCGTGGTACCAGCTGGCTGGGGACGGGGAGTCGGCAGGCTTGGGCCCGGGATGGAGCGTGGGCGTGGGCCGCCTGCCACCTCGTCGTTGCCATCTTGTCGGGTGGATGGGAACGGCTGGGGGCGGCCCGATCTCACTCTGCCAACAGCGATTGTTTACCTGATTAACTGCTGCCTCGGATGAAAGCTGACCGTCAGCCATTTAAGAGCTTCCGTTTGCCGTTACGAGCGGGTGAAACGATGAGATTCCATCGTGATTAGAGCTCCTCAATCAAGGCCGTTCATGCTTACAAGGGTCCCGCACCCTATTTCGGGATCTACGTTGCATACGAAGTGACGCACTCGTCCATTCATGTCGCTGAATAACGTGCAACGTAGTGAGTTTGTCCGGCCTGTGTTTATATGCCAGAAAGATCCACGTTGCCGAGGGTATCCGATTTGTTTTAACAGGACAATTGGCAATGCAGTACCAGATGGGATACGCGCGCCTTGAGATGCCATCTGTCGTGTTAACCTGGTGAGTTTCAAATACCGTATTGGTTCCGTTGTTTAGGGTTTGAAATTCCCTTTCCCAGCCGATCGCTGTCAACACATATCTGCTCCGAAATGGCATCGCATGCCATCGGACAGCACACATTTTGCTGTATCGACATGGTCGGAAATTTACGCCGTAAACTTTTGGTGAAATAGACAAATAAACCGTTGTCGCTTTATTCAGCATTTCCTGCATGACAATTCACGCTGCCGGTCCGAGACCGACGTCTTTCTTTTTACGGATCTGTGTTTTGTTTGCTTAACTATGGGTATTTGAACAAGTAATATGCCCTCTTATTTCTCGGAACCCATGCAAATATTTGCTGTCTTGGGCCTAGGAAATTGTCAGTTTAAAGTTGCGCGTAACATTGCTGGTAACATGGTACAATTTTTGAACTATAATCTGTTTCCTCGTGCGACTTTGATAGTTGCTGTTATGCACAAAGCTGCTGGATGGGTTCGAGGCTCGTTGATTGCGTCGTTAGCGTTTTGCCTGCGCCGACATCTCGTTATGACCGGCTGATCTGGTGAGCTGTGACTGTCGCAGACCGGGTGGACCCTGCGCCTCCCGTCGGTCGCTGGCGGCGGCCAACTTTAAGCCGACCGTTGACGTGAGCTCATATCTGGCCTGACGAGAGCTCATTAGTGCTTCGAGGGCGCCATCCGGCGAAATCCCTCGGCGTTAGGTGGAGCCCCGTTCGCGGACGTCGCGACTCACCGTCGCTGACGAGCGCGCTCCTCGCGCCGGCGACGGCCACTTACCGATCGTGTTGTTCGGAACTCGGATGAATTGGTGGCGTCGGAGGGCGGCGGAAGCGCGACTCCCGGCAAACAGTAGGCGCTCATCGGCGTCAGCCAGTCGACGCTGACGCCGACGGCAGAGGCTGTATTTTCCGCCCGGGCGTCGGGCGGCCAGGGCCCGGGTGTCGGGGCGTCGTTAGCGGCCGCTTGTGTGCGACTGACGGGCGCTCATCGTGAGCTATAGAGCCGGCCGGCGATCAATGGGCCGCCTCTGCGACGGCCGAGCGTTGCGGTGATCGGCGGCCGCGATCGGGCGGCGATCCCGCCGCCGCCGCCGCCGCCGCCGCCGCCGCCGCCGCCGCCCGCGCCCCGTGTCGATCAGGCGCCGCCCGACCCCGGCCCCGGCGCGCGCGGCCGCCCGCGGCGCCCAGATGCGGCTCCGCTCGGCGCGATGGCGTGTCGTTTCGGCGCAGATGCCGGGCTATCGGCTGGAGTGGCCTGCCGCCCACACGGAATCGACGGCGGTAGATGGACCGAGTCAAGCGCCGTGCCTGCGGCCACCGGCATGCGACCCGACCTCTGCAGCATCGGGACGGGCGTTCGCGCGCCCCGAGTTCACCCTGTCCCCGCCTCCTGTCCGCTCCTGTGATGAAGTCTGTCCCAGTGCTGTGCCCGCGTGTGTGTCCGCTCCTGGGGCCGACTCTGCCGCCCCGCTGTCACGCCACTCCGCCACGTCACTGGCCCGCCTGCTGTCCTCCGCCCTAAGTGACCATGCCGCCGCTGCCATGGCCCGTTGTGCGTCGCTGACGTTGGCGCTGTCCTGCCACTGTCGCGCCCCTCTGTCCGCCGGTGTCACTGACTGCGCCGCCGCTGCCACGGCCCGTTATGCGCCGCTGACGTTGGCGCTGTCCTGCCACTGTCGCGCCTCTCTGTCCGCCGGTGTCACTGACTGCGCCGCCGCTGCATCAGCCTGTTGTCCGCCGCCGTAATTGACTCGGCGGGGCGGCGGCGGCGGCTCGCTGCGGCGCGCCCGCCAGCGGGGCAAGCTCGGTCGCCGCCGGCCCGGCCCGACCCGGCCGGGCCCGGCCGGCCCGGCCGGCCGTCAGCGCTGGGCCGCCCCTCTGATGGATGACGTGCCGTGTTCAAAAGTTTCTCGCCATTAGGCGGCATCTTTGCGTGATGGATGGGCGGCGATGCAGTGCTGGCCTCCGCGATAGAGCGGCCGGCCCCCGGCGCTGGCCTCGGCTACCGGACACTGTCGGCCAGGGCCGGCTGGTGCCGCCGGAGCCAGGGCCGGCTGGTGCCGCCGGAGCCAGGGCCAGCTGGTGCCGCCGGGGCCAGGGACGGCAGGTGCCGCCGGAGCCAGGGCCGGCTGGTGCCGCCGGAGCCAGGGCCGGCTGGTGCCGCCGGGGCCAGGGACGGCTGGTCCCGCCGGGGCCAGAGCCGGCTGGTCCCGCCGGGGCCAGG